TGGAACAAACCATTTTGGGAGGGGGGGGGTTATCTATACTTTTGTTGTTAAAATGTTACGTCTCAATTAAGTACTGTATGCTTTTTATATTTTTAGTAGTGTGTCACACAAACAGCAAATATTGCCAAAAAAGTAAGAAATCTTTGGGGGTGCTTCAGCCCATTTTTTTTTTACGTGCGCTCAAAAAAAAAATTTGAGTGCACGTAAAAAAAGTTTGCAGGTGCAAGTGTTGCATTTTGAGGAGAAATTTATTTTATTTATTTGAGTGAACAAAATTCATTCCTGCATGCAAAAAAATGTGATCACCAGTTTAGCTCGCTGGGCTGTTTTAGCTCAGTGAGATCAGCAGCTGTTCTCAGCCCAGGAGGTCAAGGTTCAAGTCCTGCTTATGGCAACATTTTCTTCAGTTAACACTTCAACTGTTTAAACTCTTTTCCACACAAATTTCAGCCTTTTCACTTCTTTTTAGCAAAGTTTTTCAGTTTTTCACTACTTTTCAGCATAAATTCCAGCTTCTTTTCCTCTTTTCAGCAGAAAGTCTGCTGATTCACCTCTTGTCAGCACAATTCAGCTTCTTCTGCACAGTGAATATTTTTTCTCTCATCATTTCTTTGCTTGAGACCAGAGCAGGTGTTGCTCAGTGGGTTGAGCAGCCACGATGAGGTCTGGTGGCAAAGGTTCAAATCCTACATGTGACATTTGCTGCACATCTTTCCTGCTTGCATGCACTCTGCGTTATTGACACTGCTTAGTGTTCCCCTTCAAATTCAGCAGTTCTTCTTCTGCTGTTTTCAGATTACACTACACGGCATTCACACTGCATTTTCGCAGGAAATGCAACTTTTTCTAGTTACAACTGTTTTTGCATTACTGCCGCCTTGTGGATATACGAAGTATATCGATCCTAATGAACTTAAATGTTATGCCATCAAGTAACACATTAGTATTCTGTACAGACAATAATAGAGACAATTACATAGACTTTATTAGAAAAACATATTTTAAGTAAAATGAAAATAAATAATTCATATAGACTGGTTAGGACATGCTTTTTAAAAAAGTGGGAGAAAAATCATCAGAAATATCAGAAAAGATGTTAATGCGACATTTGGTGAGTTACATTACAGCGAGTTACATTACAGTGAGTTACATTACATAAAACATGAATCTGAAATTCATTTGACTCGATGGTTCAGTCATAAGCTTTAGTTTCCCACAATCCTTTGCGGTTCAAAGGGTTTGAACAAAGTCGTTGGTGCCTTTGTGTTTCGATGTTGATCAATCGTCATGCCAATGTGCATATTAATTATCATAACTGACCTCACAGCCCATCGTTCCTTCACTGGGCTGGTTTCAGTCATTATGCAAATGTCCTGTTTGTAAGGTTGAAACCTGCAGTCAGCTGAGACTGAAGACATCACCTGATGATGATGAAACGTTTCTCCCGCTGAATCTTTTTCATTCTTTTCACTGTTTCTTCTTCAGATTTTTATTCGTTGTCATAGATTAGAGGAAACGGATCGTCTTCAGGTTCATAGCAGACGTGTTTCACTGCAAGATGAACTAATCATCTACGCAATAATTAAAATATTAGTTAAGGCTCTGACATGATCTGCTCAACAGCCAAGAAAACTGCTGAAGTGCTGCTGCACCATCAATAGTGTTTGAGTTTTTGACAGCAGGGGGCGCTGCTGATCTAAAAACCCATGAGCTCTTAGCTGGGTGAACCTGTCGATTCTGTAATCTTCCCAAAGTGCTGAGACTGTCCCCGTGTAGCTCTCAGTGATCACAGACGAGGATTTCAGAACCTCTGAGCTTTGAGGAGGCCGCAGGAGTGCTCAGATGTGTTCTTTGGACTTTTTGGAAGAATTACAAGGTTCTTAAGGTTTGATACCCTCATTCAGGTCCAGGACTGCTTCAGGTGCTTCTTAGTGCTCAAAGAAGGATTCAGAGATCAGGTCTATCAGGTTTCGTTGGTTCCTGAGGTTGTAGGAGTGCCTACATATGTCATTTGTCTTTGCTGGAGAGGTTTTGGTGCCACCATTGAGGTTCTGGGACAAAAATGTGGTGATCACTTACATTGGGTTGGTATGTGAAGTTCTGGGAGTGCTTATATGTGCTCTCGTTACCCCTCTGTGGGTTTTTTCAAGGTCATTGATATCATTGGGGGTCTTTCTTGTGTATAAAGTCCTAGTAGGCCTAGGATGACCTTAAAGGACAAGTTGGGAGGTTCTTTTGGCACTTGAGATGGTTGTGGGGGTGCAGTTATACGTCCTCTTTGTCCATGTTGTGATTCAAGCACTACTTGAGGAGGATCACATGGTTACTGAGGAGGTTTTGACACTTCAAACTACCTAAACCTCCTGCTGTACATCCTCATGTGGGTTGTTAGTGTCCTGATAGAGTCGAAGGGACACTAGGAAGGAGCAGTGAAATGTTTCCAAGCAGAGAACCTCGTCCACAGATGTTCTGACCTTCATCCCAGCTGCGAGCTGAACATCATCAGTGTTTATCTGTTGGCGAGGTCGTTTACCTCCTGACTGATGGCTCGCTCAGCGACTCCAAGTCAGCCTGATGATGTCACAGTGCATATGTCCGCCTTTGACGTGAGTCAGCGACTCTGCAGAGACGTGGGACAGATTATTATCACCATGACGATGAACCCTTTCACTGGGCACCGCCTCCTGCAGCAGACGTAGGTATGAAAATATGAGATGTAAACGAGCCGAAGGCGAGTTAATCATCAGCAGGTAGACGGAGAATCAATGAGGTTCACACTGGACGACGCTCAGCAGGCGTTGCTGTGATTTGACAGTGAAATGAGCCTCAGTCAGCTTCCTGAAAAATCCCAAAATAAACCAGTTTATTAGGACCAGCAGAGCCAGGAAGCAGCAAGCGCAGAGTTCATAAAGTGCACGGGTCGAAGCTGTGCTCATGAAAAGTGTGTTAAAGACACAAACTCTTTCATGGCATTTTTCATTTCTCTTCCTATTTGGGCTGATTGGGACCTGATGAATGTAAAAACAAAGAATTAAAGTTTTTTTTTTACCTAATTTTTGTTTTTGAGAAAAATGAGAACATACGAGGACATTTGTTTCAAATTTTGACAGGACAGTGGCAGCATAACGTCCTCGTAAGTGGACATCAGGCCCTTGTAGTTTGGTCCCAGAACGTGATGTTCACGTATGTGGACACCAGGAGGTTAAATGTCCCAGGAACGATAGTTTAGCACTTTTTTCATTAGATTTAGTTTCTTTCTGTTCCCGGTGTTTCAGCGTTTGTGCTTTTACTGTTTTGAATCTTTATTTTCAGCTTCTGTTACCGTCAGCATCATTTTTAGAGTTTGTTCAGCTATCATACTGCTTGTGTCAGGTACGCAGGTATTACAGTCAAACTACACCTCAGCTGTCCACACGAGGTTCCTGACATCCTGGGACCAGCTGGGAATCCTCTTCAACAGTGGCTCAGAGATTTAGGAGCGATTGGAAGTCCTAAAGCTGAAGAGTTTAGGACATTTTTGAAGAAAACATATGTAAACCGTGGGCGATCGTGGCTCAAGAGTTGGGAGTTCGTCTTGTAATCAGAAGGTCGCCGGTTCGACACAGCTGCCATGTTAACGCTGCTACCTGTGACACTACCAAAGCGGTCACGTGACTTCCTGTCAGCAACAACAGCAGCTGAGCAGCTGGACGCCTCCATCAGACCAGACTGATGTTAGAGTGGAAACATGGACGTGTCCCACTTTACAGACCATTACGTTTAAACTGAGCTCATAGTTTTATTAAAATGTTTCGTTTTCACAGTTTAAATGTTTAAGTTTTGATATTGTCAATAAAATAGTGAATATGTTTTATTTGTTCAGTTTCTTTTTAAGTAATCAGCAGTGCCACAGTCGCCTTCGGTCTTTAACCTGGACCGCGGTGCAGCTCGGAGCAGCAGACCTCAGACATCTCCAGGCTCTGACAGTTACGAGCTCTGAAAATCTTTGCAGTCTGTTGTTCTGACATTTCACGTTTTGGGAAATGTGTCGTTTCCATCATTAGACAAAAACTGTGAAGGCAGCGTCTGCACAGCAGGGGGCGCTGCAGAGACTAAACATGCTGCACTGATGCAAAGAAGGAAGTACCATGAGAGTTTGGGTGATGGTGTCTGTCCGTCGTACTGGGAACACTGGTGAGTCACTGGAGTCACGAGGCTCACGCTGATGTTTGGGCCGTGAGTCACGGTCAAACCTTCTCACTGCTTCAAAAAGGAAAACGAGAAGTGACCTGCTGATGTCATCAACTTCTTCTTCTGCTCTTCTGCTGAGTCGAGTCTCTTCGCTTTACTTTTAGTAAGTGTGAAGTTAAATATAAAGATGGTAAAATGCTTACAGGCTGCAACCCTGCCTGACCCACTGGGCTTTAACGTTTCTGCTCAGCAGCGCCCCCTGTGGCCTCAAATATATTGGTGAGTTTAATGTGGAGATAAAGTCTGATGACGGATCGTCTCAGTCGTTCTCTCTGCTGAAGTTTGGCCCGTTTCTCCTTCAGTGTGATGGCGTTTGCCTCAGTGGGACAGTTTGACCCTCGTCCTCCATCTTTGCTAACACGTGAGCCTGACCACAGCTCTGTGGCCACTTGGATATCAAACTTTACTGACACAGCTGGAGATCATTTCATTGGAGCTGAAGTCCAGTTTGGACCAACGCCATAAACGCCACTCGCACCTGTAACCACAGACTGTAGACAATGATGGAAGTAGCTTCTGGGTCAGAGAGCCTTCATCTCTGAGCTCAGTTTATTATTGTCTACCTTACAAAATAAAGTACTTTGATTTACTGCTGTTGTGATTTAAATAAATAAAAGTGTGATGAGTTTATGGTCTCAGTACAAACGTGTTGATCCATACGCTCTACAGAGGCGCGGCTTTGGCCTGAAACAAACTGCAGGGTCACGTCTCAAAGCTGCGACAGGAAGAGGAAGTGGCTCCCTGCGTATGAAGAGACGCTCCAGAGGAAAACACGACATCCTGAAAGAGCTCAGCCTCTTTAACCCTTTGTCGTCTCTAACACACTTTCTGATGTCGTGTGAGCAGAGTGCAGACGGACGTGAGCATCTTTCAGTCAGAGCGGGAGTCCAGATGTCCACGCGCTACGAGGACTTTGAGCTCGGTGACAGTGTTGGTCCCTTCATAAGTCGGTCCGATGGACTCACATCATCTTCAAATATTTTATTTTATCTTATTCAGTTCACTGTTGTCTGTAACACTGTCACCAGGGTGAGGGTTAAACACGCAACCACGACTCTTTACTGTAACCTTTGTTTTGTCCTCTGAAGAAATCTTTTGCCATCAAAAATGTTTCTTTCTTCATCAAATGGTCTGAAAATAACAGGAGTGGTTCATGCTGTGCATCATTGGAATAAGTTTTAAGTAATTTGATTAATTTATGTTTTTTTACTGGATTTTATATCACCTGTGGTCCTCGCGGGTCAGAATGTCCCCAAAGTACAAAGTGTTGCAAAGGACAACATTTTCACACCAAACTGCTTTCAAACATCTTTGATCTTGGATCACTGATGTGTGGGGTCAAGCAAAGGTCACAACAACAACAACAACAACAGGCAGCACAATGAGGAGGCAGGTGCTCTACATTCAATTCAGTCTTATTGCTACGTTGTGATGTGTCATATCGTGTCGTGTTGTGTTATATGTAGTGCCGACGTAGGACAGTTTTCCAATTTCATTGTACTATTGTACTATGTATGACTGTGCAATGACAATAAAGAGTTATCTTATCTTATCTTATCTTACAGCACCGAATCACAACAACATTCCCATCAAGGTGCTTCGTGTTGTAAGGTCGACCTACAATAATACGTACACAGACAGTAGCTCACAGGCCTCCACTGCACTGGAGGCTTGTGAGCTACTTTTTTTTACCATGTTGTGCAAAGCAATGACCAGCAGGACAAAGCACATATTGTCCTCTAGTATAATGAAGAGGAAGAATCAATGTTCAGGAAGATTCAGGGTTAGAAGATAAAGAAAATATTGTCAATATTTAGAGCACATGCTACCCTTTCTCTGAAAAAGCACATCACCCACCTGCAGAAGTGGAAGAAGGCGATGAAGTGAAGGAAAGTGATGAAGAATCTGAACTATGTTCAAGCCTCAGGCCTCCAGTGCATGGTAGTCTGAGGAGCTTGGAAAGAAAGTGACTGGGCGTCTTGAAGTTTCTTGAATTTTCAGATTGTGAAACTGAAATAGAAGATGTGTCAGAGGACTACACATCTTTCATTTCAATTATGATGAAGAAAAGAATCAAGCAAGAAAGAGGAGTCAGCTGAGACAGAGGAGTATTTGCAGTAATGTGAGGAAACATTGATCTGGTCTTCTATCCTCCCCAGTGACAGACGATGCATGAGTCTCTCATGTGCCTCAGAGAAAGACCATCTACCACAGTCCAAGCACATGTGCCAGGTCCCATACTCCTTCAGTTGCTTTTCTACTCGAGTACTGAAAGCGTTACACACAGTGTATTCTGCTTGTTTTCTGCCTTTGAACGTTTACATGCCAATGGATGCATCAGAGACCAAGTTGGGGTTCAGTAACTTGCCCAAGGACACCTTGGTAAGAACTCCAGACTAGAGCACACAGAGATTGAACCAACAACCATCCAATCAGCAGATGAGCTGCTCT